TTTAACTAATAAGTATGTACTATAATACATTACAGGGAGCGTGTCTTCCAAATGCTTATATATGTATAAATAAATAATTGAAGTCTCCATAGAAGAAAAGGCATCTCGCCATATCTAGTTAGCATTTGATCGACCTCAATCTATAATTTTGTGTGTGTAAGACAAAATGAAAATATATAATTAAATAATATTTATTATATTAAATGACTAAATAAATGTGTAGCCCGAAAGAATATAAAAAACTTCACATCTTTATGAAAAAGTTTTGTGAAAGAATGAAATAATAATATCAATTGTATATATTACTGTTACATCTGTAAATTTGGTAAGTGATTGATTTATCTTTGCTTAGAAGCGGGTCAAAAGAGAAACACCAAGTTTTTCAGCGGACAAATACATACAATTTGAATCATAAAACGAGAAATATTATTGAGAGAGCTTTTTAGAATATTATTAATATGTAATTCTTCATTTTTTTCTTTTGCGATGAATAACACGGTGCAAAATATTTGTATCTTTTGTTATACAACCACATGCAATATACATCCATACATACGATTGATGAAACATTGGAAAAGCTGCAATGTTTAGGCTTGAATAGATACATCACTGATGATAACGCTCGGGGCGGACAGACCTATCGCGTGATGCGTAGAAATCTTTATTGCAGCAACGCATTTTGCGATCCTCTTTAAGCTCGATAAATTTATTTGCGTAATTATTCGTTCATGTTTACCAAATAACACGAGTGATCGGTGTTGAAGAACATGCGGCGAGGAATACACATCGCACCATTATTCGGAAGCGCGTTTTCTCGATGCAACCAGTTGCAATCTCGAACACTTGTAGCGATACGACTAACAATAAGATTTCTCGAGACGGGAAACGTGTCCGAAAGGGATAACAGAATAATATCAAGTTAATTAATCGAAGAAAAGACAGTCAGAAAATAAGGATAAAGTTCCGAATAGGTGAACCCTCCGATTTTTTTGCTCCACCCGAAAATAATTAATAAGATAATAATTATAAAAGAAAATATATGATAATAACGGGTCGACAGAATCGAAAAAAATTAATCGAACGTGATATTCGATAATTTCACATTATACACCGAATAATGAATACAATAATTCATATCAATGGTAAACAATTTTCGGTAATTATATACATGATTTAAGAGCTGTTTACTTCGATTTATATATTTGTTATATTATTTATACAGAAAAAAATCTATTTTTTTAATATTATTAGAGATTATACCAGTAAGGTCCGTTCTACAATAAGTCGTTAGTCGTTACTCGTAAGCAAATTGAATAACCACAGTCGATTATTCCAAGAATATTCTCGGAATAATCGACTGTGGTTGGTCAATTTGCTTATATTTAATGACTAACGACTTATTGTAGAACGGGCCAAACAGATAATAACAATTTTTATTGACGTATTTTTTAAACAAAAATCTTCATATATGCATCGCACGTGTATTATATACATTCGGGATTTATCTGTGAGCAGATGAGGGCTAAACAGACATATGTCCTTTAATCGCATACCGGAATGTGACTGGTTGTTTACCGGCTACGAGCTAAATATACATTGCGATAATATACTCATATTCATATATGTATCTCTCTGAAATGTTTTCGCTTACATATATTCTCCGAGAGTTTCCTTTTGACCTATATTGCGTGCTCGTTAGCGTTTTCTAATCT